TACTATGATTAACATGTTTCTATTATAATTTCTGAAATTTCTGAAAACAGCGAAAAATCTAGGGTGGGAAAAGAGTAGAAATGAAAAAAATAAGTAACATTCTAGTCAGTGGATATCTTAAAATATATTTGTACTGGGCATACATATGAGACAGTGCACAGACTTTATGTTTCTAAAAAAAATCTGAATCTTAAATGGATAAATATATAGTCACCCCTCCACTTTCGAGGGGTTTGGAGCAAAAGACACCTGCAAAGCTGAAAAAACGTGAATATGTTAGCACCCCAGACATGAATTATACAGTTATCTCCCACCCAAAGCACCAGCCATACCTATCTTTGCAACCTTGCAACCATATCACCTCCCCCACATTTCCAAACTCCTTCCACTTTCAATGTGATGTTAGCAACTGCAGAAAATTTATCTTCTCTCTTGCCACCACCTCCTCACCCTCCCTCCTGACCATTCAAAAGCAACTCTGTGTCTTCTCCACTTTGTCAGATTTTGCATCCTCCTCATTTCAAAAGCCTTTCCACTTCCAATCAAATGTTAGCTGCCACCACCACAGAGGATCCACTTTCTCTCCCACCCCTCCTCACCCTTCCTCCCAACCAGTGATAAGCAACATTATACTTTCCCCATTTTTCCAGACTCTGTGGCATAACAACAACAACAAAATCATTCCCCCCAAATATTCTAAGAGTCAGACTGGCCCATAGAGGGAGAAACCTATCAAGGGGTTTTCTTGACAGAGTGTAGGGTGCATATAGTAATGATTGCTACTTGGAAACAAACAGGCACTTCAGTGACCCCTTTGTCTGGTCATTTCTGCAGCTTCTTATTGAATTTTGTCATGTAGTCAGTCTTTCAAAATGACTCAGTCACTTGTACCTCTTCTCATTTAGAACAGAGGACTTTACATGCAAAATGAGAACCCATGATTCTTGCTTCACTACTTCTCTAATGGACTATATAAATCAATGAATGGCTCTGTGACCATAATTCTGTATGCCTCCTTGGGGGTATGCGATTTAGGTAGACCGTGAAAACCACTGGGCTCATCTGGGACTAAGATTAGCTTTAATCCTTGAGGTGGTTTTTAAAGGGTTTTTTGCATTTTTATGTTCTTTGGGATGTGAGTTGATAGATCATTTCCAGTGGGACTTCTTTACCCCACTACAAAAATACCAACCAGTACAAAAGCCTGACCTTGGCGTCCACAAGAGTCAACTTGATGAGGAGCTTAGCTGGAGCTGGAGTGACAATCAGAAACCAAATGAATCATATCAAGTGTGACCATTACAGGCCTGAAAATGATTCTTAATTAACCACCGATCCTCTGTGGTAGCAAGTTTCCAAAATCTGTGAATCACAAGGGAACCGCAGAAAATGTACAAGCAGCAATTTACCTAATCTAATAAGTCTGGTCTGATGCCTATTTGGAACTGCTGCTTTCCCCTTCTCTAAGCCCCTCCTCACATGTTTCATTTAAACAGTTTCTCAAGAGTTATTTTCAATGGAATTTTAAGAGATGGAAAAATCTGCTAAGCTTTCCCTGATACTACTATTTTATCATTTATGGGCTGTGTAACCTTCTTTCTCTTTTTCTTTTCAAATCAGAGTGAAAACCATGAAATGTGTAAACCACAAGTCTTATGGAATAAGCTCTTCTGGGCAAGAGCCCATTCCACCAGATTCATGAAGCAGTCACAAAAGTGTGTGTGTGTGTGTGTGTGGGTGTGTGGGTGTGTGTAATCATAATGCATAGGGAAGGAAACTGAAATATATGTTTGTTTATATTTCAAGGCCAAGAAGTCAAACAGTACAAATAGGGTGATTGGTGTCTCACAATACCATGCAGCTCACAAATGAATACAGAATCTAATCTGATAAGCAATCCTATATTGCAAACAGGTGAAGATTGAGAATGAATTCTTTGGATCCCATATTAGCAAAAGAGCAGGGTATATATCAAAAGTTTTTTATCTACTACCTCCAATTTGAGGAGGATTTCAGCCATATCACTGAGTGTTGACATTCAGTAACTATTTTAATCAGTTCTGGAACATTTCTGAAAGATTCTCTAAAGACTGGAGTTAGCATAGTGTCCTGTTTGCCCTTGGGATGCTAGCCAAACCCTCAGTCCAGAGTTACAGCATTTCAAGCACTGAGAGAGAGAGAAGGGAGCATATCTCACCAAATCATTTGCAGCAAAAGCAGTGGTCATTTATTCCAGACCAGGTTCATCATGAGGTAGCAGTCAGTCCAGTACAGCAGGTTCAGAGGAAAAATCCAGATGAGTAGTTCAGGGTTCGAGGCAAGGGTTCAAGCAGGGTCCAAGCAGGGTTCAAGGCAACAAGTAATCAGTCAAGGTACAGGGCAACAGCAAGGCATCTCCCAAGCATGATGGATGGTTGTTGTCCATATCGGACCAAGGGAGGTGCTGGGATATTTATAATAATAATAATAATAATAATAATAATAATAATAATAATAATAATAATAATAATAATAATAATAATAATAAAAAAAAATTATTTATATCCTGCCCTTTATAGCCTGTCTGGGTCTTGCAAGTACTCTCTGTTAGCAGTCTTCTTCCTACTTTACTGCAGAGAAAGCTGTTGCCTGTCTTTTTCCTGGCATCTCTCTGTGGGAGTAGGCACTGGTACATCTGGCTCAGGTGGAAAGAAACTTTGCTCTTGGGATCTCAGTCTTAGTACTGGCTGCAGGCTCACTTCAAGGGGCTGCTGGAGTACCTGTAGTCCTTGCATGTCCCCCGAGTTCTAAGCCTCTTCTTTAGACCCAGAGGACATGTCTGAATCCTGGTGGCGGGGCATGACACATTGAGTTTCTATTTTTGCACCCAGATTGAGATTATTGGAAAATTGCATTCCCTTTCTTGTAATCTCATGCATACAAAAGGTATTGGCATCCCAAATGTGACAAAAGACATTTTATTGCCTTCACAAGATGTGGACAAGATGCTGCCCACATGAACTCTACAAAATCTGACTGGACTGACAGTTAAATCATACATGAGCACTGGTGATGGGACAATACCCTTCATGCAACTAAGGGTAGAAAGCTAGTTTAGAAATTACTGTACCACTCCAGGTTGGGGGAGGGGAACCTCTCAATTAAAGTGGCATTAGAGGAGGGCAAAATCTGATTATTTTATGTGACTTTCTATGTGAGAAAGTGTGATTCTTGTGTGTGTGAAAGAAGATATGAGGTAGCTTTAAAGCCTGAGCACCTCCACTCATTCTCAGCTGACACTATGGCTTTCTGGCTCAATCAAGCATGTCAGTACAGCAAAAATCTAGCCATGAGGAGGGTTGACTGAGGAAATTGATTGTGGGTACATGTACCTGGATCCATTGTGGAGTATGGGGCAAGACAAGGAGTCAGACACCTACATAATGTCTTGTGAACTTTCTTACTGTAAAGTCTTTTGAACCAGTGGCAGAAGTCCTAAGGAAAAATATAAGAGCTGGTGGAAGTATTGTAGGGCTTGGGAAAATGGATGTATTGTGGGTTCTGCAGGCAAGACTACATAGGAAGTGTGCCTTGGTGGGGAAAGCAGTAGTTGCTGTAACTACTGGATACATTTGCTGCCTTGCAGCCACTGAAAATTTATCCCCAACCCCACACTGATTGTCATATTACCTGGTTAGTTCAGTTTTACCTAGATCTGGGCTCATTTACCCAGATTGTCATCATGCCCTAGAAATCATTCTGGCTCACCTTCCAATTTTTTCTTTCAAGAAATCTGTGACATCACGAGGAACCATCCTTCTGAAATCATAAAGGATAAGAGTCTGCCCCAAGTTCCATATTGACGCATGAGAGGCAATTGGCAACTGTAGAAACCAATAGATTAAACTGTACTGTGACTTTGTTCTAACTTCCTTGCAAACACATTTGGGCTTTAAGCTGCTACCTCAAATTGTTGAATATTGGCAGTGATGTCTGTAGAAATCAGTAATGTGGCATGTGATGTCACAAATGTAATTGCAAAAGATAGTGCCTAGGAATGTGACTTCCACCTAGTGATTTGCTTTTAACCTATTCTTCTAAAAAAAGTTGCATAAATCTGTACTGTAAGAATCAAGAGCCACCATAAGTAAGTGGAGCCAACCTAAGTTAGGGGCTATGCAGACAGGTGGCTGTGGGCCGTCCCTGCTAGCAGCGGATCGGGGCCATGACAAACCCACGCCACAGCTCCGATCCTCCCTTTTGCCATCCCTAAAAGAGTGGCAAAATTCAGTTTCTTTTAGGGGTGGCAAAAGGTACCCTAAGAGCCAGCGCTGTGGCTCTTCCACACCCTTTCAGCACAGCGTGTCTACATGCTGTACCGGGAGGACGTCCTGACACCACGCACTGTGCGTACGGGTGTGTGGTGTCAGGACGGCATCAGGCTAGGGTTGGGGCAGCCAGTGTGTGGCTGCCCTGCCCCAACTCCACCCCCAGGCTGGCCCTTTAGGCCAGTCTGCAATGCCCCTTAGGAATAGCAAGTACATTAGCACCTTCTTAGCAATAGCGAGTACATTTCTATACCACTTATCAGTGAGCTAGCATTCCCTAAGCAGTTGTGTAAGCCAATTGCCCCCAACAAGCTGGGTACTCATTTTACCAACCTGCAAAAGGATGGAAAGCTGAGCCCTCCTCTAGGTTCAAACTTCCAACATTGTGGCTGCAGTACCAGCATTTTAACTACTGCACCACCAGGGCTCTTGCCTTAGAACTTCTCTTGCTCATGGGAACACTGTTTTGTAGCACAAAACAGCTATAAAAGTAGTTTCAAGTTGACTGTAACCCAACAGTAGCATCTAAGAACTTGTTGTTGTTGTTTGCCTTCAAGTAGCTTCTGACTTATGGCAACCCTAAAGCAACACTATCAGGGTTTTCTTGGCAAGTTTCTTAGCAGGGGTTTGCCATTGCCATCCTCTGGGGTTGAGAGAGTGTGACTTTCCCAAGGTCCCCCAGTGAGTTTCATATGGCTGAGCTGGGAATCAAACCCTGGTATCCAGAGTTGTAGTCCAACACTCAAACCATTATGCCATTCCGGCTCTCAAGAAATTGTTTTAGTGAGGAACAAAATATGTTTGCTTTCTTTGCACCTTCTGCATGCCTGTGAGTGAGTCAGGTCCTATTTAACTCAACAGTAGCTAACCTTTTCCTGTAAAATATGGGGAATTGACTGACAGAACAAAAAAGAGCAAAGATTTGAGCATCCACAGCTATCTGCAAATCTCTAAGTCTCGTTGTTACTGAGTTTCTCAACTTCTCACTGGTATTTTCACCTCATCTAAATTTTGTACTGGGTTGTAAAACTTTGCCCAGTACACAAATGAAATTAATCCATATTTATGTACACATTTTTCAAAATGTATACATCTTTTGTATATGTAGCAATCTTTTACATATATTGCCAGTTGTGTCATTAGGGAGGTACAGGGTGTGTGTGTTACCCACTGGGGCAGTACACATGGAGGGGGACTAGCATGGCTACTGGGCTACCGAGAAAGAGTGCTTTCCTGCTTGCCCAGCAGCTCTGCACAGGAACCTAAATGGGTCCTCCAGAGGCTGTGGTACTGCCCCCACTCAGTAGCAATGGCTGCTGAGTGGTACTGCCTTTAGGGTCTGGCATGGCAGCAGTCACGCCAAACCCCAACAGCCTTTGCAGGGATTGTGTCTGCAGGGTTCAGTGCAGAATATCCTCAAGCTGTGCGCCTGCTCCTTCAAGGGAGTGCAACCCCATTCATTCCCATCCTTATTAACATCCTGGACTTGATAAAATAACCTATATCATGGAAAGTGAGGGGCTTTTTAAAAAAGTGACAAACATAAAGCAAGCTCATTTTTTTTTCTTAATATATGGGTAAGTATACTGTACTGAATTTCTATCAAATGTTTTATTTTGTGCTGGACAAAATTACAGCTCACTCTTTATATTCTTAACAGGCATGTCTAGGCATCCTCCTGGTCCTGATATCCCCACTTTCTATCCCTTATCTCCTGGCAGTGTTGGACAGATAACTCCACCTCTTGGCTGGTAAGAACTTCCTACTGCTTCTGAACTTTGTTGTGTGTGCTTGTGTAGATGCTGTGTGCTTCTTCAAACAATTGCAGCCTTTCTTGGCTTGAGAAGTATTTTTCCTGTGTGATTACTGTTTTTTAAATATGGTATTTACATTATTATATAAGAAATTGGTAACTGAACAAAACTAACAACCTTTGGGTACAGAGACAAATGGCTTTGCAAGTGAATAGTTAGACTTTAGGAAAGTGACATTCTGTAGTCATAAACTTCATAGCTTACTCTGTGCGTATATAAAGTGCATCCTCTCCCCAAATGCTGGACTGCAACAATTCCCAGCATTTCTCACCACTTGCTGTACTGGCAAGTGTTGAACATCTGAAGGGGTATATTTTGCCTGCCCCTAGGATCTGATATGAGTGCAGTTTTTTTGATGAAGGGCTCACCAGACCTTTGCCCTGACTATTTGTAGAGTGCAGGGCTGGAACAAGTAAGATACAGTGAGAATTTGTAGATTGTTTTCACACCACTATGTTCTATTCATTTGGTTGCTTTGACGCTGTCTGTGTAGTAAATGGGTCTTCTTAAACAAAGTACTAACATGGTAATAGCCCATTTCAAGATTTGTGGTAATATGTGAAACCACTTCATCAAGTTCATACCCCAGTCAGAGCTAAAAGCTTGTTGGCAGAATGGTTGTGTTTATTTACATTTTGTTTACATTTTAAAAGAACTTACATTTTCTTTACATTTCAAAGAATTTACTCTCCTAATCATGTGATTAGTCATATTGCAACCCAGTGAGAGAGTGAGCAAAAGAAAGAAAGAAAGAAAGAGGGATTCTAAAACAGATTATTTTGTGCAATAGTGAACTAATAGCTCTGGAGCTCTGGATGTTAGATGCCAATTCCCATCAGTCCCAATCACTATTGCCAAGCCAAGTGGTCAGAAATGTGGGAGCAGTAGTCCAATACTATTTGAGGGACCACACATATCTCAGCCCTGCTTTGGCGACTGCTGCTTGTATGTGTCATTTGGGTTTTTCATGGTGGAAACGATTACATTGTCAGTATACAGCTGTATACTTTGTTGGACTGGATATCAATCTGTGAGTCAGGTTTACATGAATGTTTTAGAAAATAACAGTGAAATGACTTCATATGCCAAAAATCCCTGCAAATCCAAAATGCCCTTATAATTAAACCTTAAAATTAAAAGAGTAGACTGTGTTTATTCCCATTCTCTTTTGCTGCTTTTCCACAACAGAAGGATTTGTGGTTTTGATTCCAACTCAAAGTATTGTCATTTCTTTCAAACTTTTTTTAAAGATTTTTGAGGTGTGTTGGTTTTTGTTTGCTTTCTGCAAAGAAAGAAAGTCAAGAAAAAAAATGCTGATAACTTAATGTTTTAAAATGTCTAGCAGACAGATCCAGATTGTGTTCTCTGCTTGTGTAGCTAAAAATGTGCTATAGGATTGATATTTTTGGTTTCAACTCTCCCCACCTCCATCCTGTGCAATGGCTATCCCTACTACACATGGACAGTGCTCTGTTTAAGTGTGAAGACTGTCCGGGTGAGCGTACTAAAAGGCCAGCAGCTTTGGAAATGCCAATTCTTTAAAACATTAAATATGTCAATCAATAGCTCTGCTTGAATAGAATTGAGTGCAGTCTTTCAAGGGTAGATCAATTATTCTCTCTGAACTTTGCTACTTAAGTGTGTTAAATCCTGCTTAGAAGTTGCATCAAATGCAAGCTGGAGGAAAAGACAATGTAAACTAAGCAGAAAAAGTTCAAAGTATTTGAAGCAATCAATTTGTGCTAGTGGGATATGGCATTCTGAAGAAAACTGGAACTTCAGACGAAAGAGTTTTTGTTTTTGTGCACTTTTTCTCTCAGTTTTTTTTTTTGAAGGTTCAGCTTTGTGTGAATACGCCCAAGTTCTTTAAACTTTACCATCTTTTCCAGAAAATGAAAAGCAAAATGATGACTGTCCTAATCTTTTCAGATTAAATTCAGAAAGGCTTTGCTTGAGTAGTCCAGGGAAGAGTAATGCAATCAACAAGATCATTTATCTAGAGGGGGAAAGACTAACACAAAAGGATTCATCAAGCTAATAAATCAATCTGAGTTGCCAAAGGATTGACTGCTCCTGTTGCTACTCTCCTTGCTGCCCTCCAATCAATGCATTTCAGGAATTTCAGTGTATCATGCCCCTTTGTGTGTTTAAACAAATTACTGTTATCTCTGTCCTTATTATCCCCCTGCTACTCTGGAATTTTCCTTTCAGTATTGCTGGAAAAGGACATCTGTCCTCCAAGTGCTGCTGCTGCAGAAGAACATAGTCAGACATGGAAGACAAATAGCAATGCAATGTCGTTCATGATTGGCTCCAGAGAGTAGTAACTGTGGCCATTTGTCACAGAACCAAGTCTAACAGAGAACCCATTGCTTTAAAAGTGTTATCTTTTTAATTCTATATAGAAAATCCAAGGAGCTCAGATAGAGTCTATGAGAATTTTTCACTTTGCTTTTCCTGAATCTTCCAGTTTGAGAGAAAGTGCAGTCAGACTTCCCACCACCTTCTGGAAATCACTTCTGACAGGAGCAGACTTAGAGTAGGCATCAACTTGGTTTGCCCATAGAAACAATGTTAACATTTATAGAATTGGGTCCTCCAAGAAAGTGAGTTGGTGGGATGTTTCAGTAGCTGATCTTTCAGGCTAGTAGGACAAAGCAAGGATAATTCTTCCCAGGTTGTGGTTTCAGAGAACTCTGCTCATCATCTTCTAGAGTCTGTCTGCTGCAATGGTTTATTGAAATGTTTGTGTTCTCCAGATGTGATATGATTTTCATTTTTCAGTTGTCCATAGTACATCCCAATCTGTTTTTTATACATTAACAGAGTGAATGACAAACATTCCCTGGTTTTGGTTGAACAGTTACCCTGTTCCAGGCTATGCAGACATCTATAATTTTTATAACACTTTGACTTTGTTATGGATAGTTATAGCAGTCTAATAATGGGCCCAATAGCAAATGAATCTTCAACTATACCTGAAAACCAGTATGACTAAACTGAGACAACATGATTCAATAGGAGATATTGTAATGGTTTGTAAGATGGAAGACAAGAAAAGAGCAAGACTGCATTACATGTTGATAGACTGAATCAAGGAAACCATGGCTCCAAGTTTGTAAGATCTTAGCAGAGCTACCAATAATAGGGTATTTTGGAGAGTTCTTATTCATAAGTCAAAGCTGACTTAACAGTAATTAACACTTTAGGTGTCATGGCTCTGTCCTATGGAGTCCCATAATTTGGTAAGGTGCTTAGAAATCTTTGCTAAATAGCTCTATTGCAGTCCCATGAACTACCAAATTCGACATCTTGAGCAGAGAATTTTAAATTCCTCACCAAAATACAAAAATACAAAATACAAAATACAATATCCCAGGATATTGTTGGATGGAGCCATGACAATTTCAGAGGAGTTTCAAGCTGCAATAATAGTTCAATGCAGATACACTGTGTCATGCCTACTCTGAAATTCTTTGAGGTGCTGATTAATAAGTCTTTATTAAAGGTCATTGGACATCCCCTTCCTTCAGGAACTTTAGGAACTATAATCTCTCAAATTTCTTTTGACAAACAAATGGCTATTAGTATATCCCTTATCACAAAATAAATTCTAGTTGACTCTAATCAATTCACAGAAAGAATTAAATTTTCCCATTCAAAAAGAAATGCATGGTGGTGACTTTTCTCTCAAACACAGGCAGGAAGTCAACTGGATGAGAACAGAATATACTTTCATTGCTACCCTAGATTTTCACATCTTTGGTGTTTGCTTAAAAGGCAGGTTCACCTCTATTACAATATTATTGATGGGTTCCTTTCTTCTGTGACCTCAGGCAAGGTCAGCCTGTATATCCCATCTCAAGTGGATTCAGGCAGCCCTACCCATCCTCACTTTCAGTCGACACTTCCATGTCAAGGTAGGTGTAGGTGTGGGATGACTGACTGGCT